CAATCAGAAGTTCTGGTTAGGGACCTGTATTAATGATCAGGGATTTATCCTCTAACTTTGAAACTTAATATTGATTGTCTAGGAAAGGGCCTTTCAAAAGGAAGCTAGTCAACGTTGTTCGATACGATTCAATTACAGTGATAACAATGTAGTGAGCTTGTCTATCTGGCGTATGCTAAACAGATTATTGTGCCTCGGTGTCTTTGACCAATTTGGTCATGTCTTGGCCATTCGACGACTTGTACTCTGAGAGATTTTCTTTCTCTGGTTCGTCTTCAATCACATCAGGTATGGGTATGTGATTTGTCTCCTTCAGGAAGAYTAGACACAGCGACGCTGCTACAAGCGCGTTTACTGCCATGATTGCGTATGGTAAAATATAATGGACACGAATCTAAAGAAAAGAAGAATAACTAAACACCAATCATTCAATGAATGCTACCTATCACCAAGAATCTAATAGGCACTTTGCAGCTGGGGGTCACGTGACCACACCTACCTTAAATCAATGAGATATCAAAAAATGATGTCCAGAAATGGAAAGAGGGGATCAAAACAAGTAAGAACAAGACATAGAATTGAGATTTTGCCATTTTACCAACATAAACCTGCTCTTTCCATTTCTGAACATCATTTYTTGATAGGTGATTGATTTAAKGTAGGTGTGATCACGTGACCTCCAGCTGCAAAGGGCCTTACCCGTCAAACATCAATTAACCGATTAACAGAATCAATRAATTTCTGCATAAATTGCAATATGAAATGTTTTTTTACCAGATATGTTATATAGCCACTGATAGCAAAACCAATGCATCCGAACGTTAACATAGCTCCTTGAGCGACATTTCTAACAACAAAATAAATGGCAAATCAATGATAAATTATCAAATAGAATGGTGAAATTCGCACATGTTGAGTGTGCAAATTCATAAAGAACGATGGCGATATAAAGAACGCTCCTCCACTCCAGCAAAAATAACTGATAGACAATTATCATGAAATTAATAAACAACTTCATTACCTGACAGGAGTTGGGTAAATCTCAGCTACAAACAATGACACTCCACTGTAAGCTGCCGTAATGAAAAATTTGGCCAGCAACATYGTGAAGATGATTTTACCGATGAGAAATCCTGTAATTCAATGAAGCATTGTCAACTGAGATCGAAAGAGGACTAGGGATATCTGATCTTAGTGTAGTGGCTGTATTCACAAAATGAACAATAATCCACCATACATAATCATTACGTAAGCTGCTGTCAGAAACCTTCGTCCTCACTTAT